ATATGGACCTCAAAATACACCTAGGTGTGTCTCCCTCAGTTTAAAATTCAGCACACATGTGTATGAGGAGAGGCACATGCTCCCAGAGCACAATGAAGCTGGGGCTACCTTCCATCTACATGGAAGGCAGTGTGGTGCAGTGGAAAGAGCTTTTGTTTGAGAGTGTGAAGACCTGGGTTCCAGTCTGGCACTATTATTGACTTTGGGTCAGTGATGATGGCAGAGCACCCACCCTAACCAAAGGAGAAGGTCCCTTTCACTCTCGGGATCTGGTTTCCTCATCTATGAAATGAGGTGGTGGAGCCAGCTGGTTTCTCCCTGCCAGCTCTAATATGCAGCAGACCTAAGTGGGGGGTGAAGGCACGAAAGGAGGGGGACCCTCTGGGCTTCCACATTGCTTTGTTTTTCTAGGATTGTCAATTCTAAGAACAGAACCTGAGAGATTCTCTGTGGATTAGAGGCATAACTCGCCTTAGTGACATCTAGTCCACCCCACTCACATCAGAGGCAGAAACAGGCTCGGAGAGGGAAGTCACTTGGCTAAGGTGTGGCTTGATGACAAGAGCCAGGATTCGAATTCAGGCCTCCTACCTTCCAGTCCATGCCCTTTCCACTATATCACCTCTTGCTCTTGACAAAGGGGAAAGGGGTCCACTTCCTGACAGTTTTGCTTGATGGGAGGGTGTGAATTGGAAGTTATGGCAGCTTCCCTTCCAGGCCTCTGGACCCCCTGCCAAGTCTGGTTGGTTTCCAGGCCTCCCTTGCTGGGGAGCTTGGCGGGGTCCCAGACCTGGGATGGATGTGTGTGTGTGTGTGTGTGTGTGTGTTTTCTCCCTCTTTTCCCGCAAACAGATAGTAGGTATCGTGTGAATGGCCTGGTCTAGAAGGGAATGGAAGGGTGGAGTAAGGCTTGGGAGATACTTAATAAAACAAAATTGAGGGGACCGTCTGTACAGCTAACACCAGAAAGGGCCCTCCTCCTCTCTCTTCAGTCTTTCCTACCCCAGGAAACAAACACAAAATCTAAGGTCTAAGGAGCCTTCCATATGAACTGGCTTTATGTGTAGAAAGAGCAGGCATTCATCTACCAAATACGATACGAGCATCTCTCTCCCCCAAATGTTCCTCTTTATGCCTTGTGCAGTGACCAAGATTTTACCATCAGAGAATAATTCCTGGGTCTTTAGGGCCCATGGCTCCCTAACTAAAGGTCCCCTCCTGCAATGCTCAACCTTCTTGCAAAGAGGGTAGATTAAACCATTATTGTTTTCTTTTTGAAACACCTCAGGGAGGGCTAGTTTATCAGTCTTATGGAGGGGTTAATTTGGGCAGGGAGCCAGGTGGACAGAGAAAGATTTGGGATGAGAATGGGCACCTCTGCTTGGGGCACTGCAGTGAGGACTTTGAGCAGTCTGAGGACCCCGGGGGTGGCATGAGAGGGAGGAGAGAGGAGAAGGTACCAGAGATGCACTGATAACTTTGCCCTTCACCCTGGGGATGCTCTGCTCCTGACAGCCAAACGGCTGGGGCCCCACAACCTGGCAGAATAGCTGAGCTGCCCGCTCTTGAAGATGCTAAGGAGGAAGCTCGTCTCTTGTTTCCCTGCACATGAGGTTTCCTCCCCACACCCCAAACACACATGCCTATAGAGGGGAAGTATCTAGCTCTCTGTCAGGCCCTCAGCCTCCCCTCTGGGAGACAGGGTGGATGACGTAGCTGGGAGGTCTGCCTGGTTCCCTCTGTCCATCAGCAATATTACTCTGGATAGTACCCAGCCTGGGTTTGCCAGGGGTGGCAAGGGATGTCTTGGAGGAGGAAAGGTGGGTGTGTACAACTCCCAGCTTCCTCAATAACCCTTCACAGAGGTGCAATAATACATTTAGGAGCCCTCCCATGCACATGTTTTCTAAGATACATATGGGTACTCATCCACAGGCATGAGAGCCAGTATGTGTCTCAAACTCTAGGTTGTGCAGTGGATAGAGTTCCAAGCCTGGAGTAGGAAGACCTGAGTTTAAATCCGACCTCAGACACTTACTGGCTGTGTGACCCTGGGCAAGTCACTTCACCCTGTTTGCCTTGGTTTCTTCATCTGTAAAATGAGTTGTAGAAGGAAATGGCAAACCACTCCATTATCTTTGCCAAAAAACCCCTAGATGGGGTCAGGAAGAGTCAGAAACGACTGAAAAACAACTAAACACAAACATGGGGTCAGAGGTTCCACATGTTTCCTCCCTGCTATGTAAAATAGGACATCTGTTGACTTGTACTAACACCACCCCCTCCTCTACCAGTCTGCAAACACAACATCCCTCGTCCAACCAACACTTGGGCCACATTTCCTTTCTCTGCACTGCCCATTGGGAATTTTGGGGTTCTGTCCTGGGCCCTTTCAGCCTTCCTCCGTCTTGGCAGCAGAAGCCTCATCTTTTCAGCCCATCCTCATAGATCTCTGGTTAGAGTTGGAAGGGACCACAGAGGCCATCTATCCTGGATCTCTTCTTTTTACAGAGGAGGCAACTGAGGCCTGGAGGAGTTAAATGGCTTGCCCCAAAGTAGTATAGACAGAGAATAACAAAGTCAGGATGCCAACCCATGTCCTCAGGATCCAGAGGTGACATTGTTGTTACTCTCCTCATGTGGCTGCCTCCATACCATCCCAAATATGTTTCTCAAGCCCTATTATGTGAAGGGAGCTAAATTTGGGACCAAAAGACCTAGGGTCCATTTCCTATAGATGCTGCTCTATGTGTGACTTTGGACTGGTCACTTAACTTCTCTGGCCTCAGTGTTCCCATCTTTAACCCAAAGAGGCTGAATTAGATCCAATGGGGCTTAACCTGGGGTCATTGAATTTAAAAGAAAATATTCTGCTAGCCATATTTCAATCTAATTGTAATTCTCTGTATTTCATCTTATACATTTAACAACATGATTCCCAGAAGGGGTCCATAGGTTTCCCCAGAGCATGCCGAAGGGGTCTAAGATACCTCCAAAAAGGATCTCAACCATCCCCTCCCAGCTCCAAATCTAATTCTCCACATCCCCTGGGATGCAGGGCTCAGTCCGGCACACGACAACATTCTGGGTGGGAATTCCACTTCTAGTCTTTGCTAAGCATTTGGAGTCTAGCACCTCCGCTCTGTCTGCCTCACTTCCCTCTGGTCCCCTCCCCCTCCATGGTCCCAGTTACAGTCCAGGGAGGCCCGGACTCAACGTCCTCAGAAGGGAGTGTTCTGGAATCCCAGAGGGTCACTCTTCGTCATGGGGAGAGCTGCGGTAAACAAGAACTGCAGGGACCAGGGGGAGGAGAGGAAAGACTGAGAACGGGCCTGGACATCTGCCCAAAGCAAGGCCTGCTCTTCACCATTATCTGCCCCACACAGACACACTCTAGCCTGACAGTGCTGGGCAGTCTCAAGGTTGGGGGCTGATGACCATCATCTCTCTTTGAGGTAGCCTGATAGCGCTACTCTGACCCCAGCTCCGTGCAACAAGCCTGGAGCCCAGGGAAACTCAGAAATTCGGCTCCCTGGTTCTGCCCCACAAAGAATAACATACAAACTAGGAAAATGGACAACCCTCAAATATGAACAGAAGTGTTACGAATTGCCTTTGTTTGACAATTTGTAAAGGTTTAAGGGTTACAAAGGTAAAGCTGAAAGGTAAACCTTTATGGTTTACAAAGAACCCTTGCAGGCAAATTATAACCACTCTGTGAAGGAAGGACTATGGGTATTTGGATGCCCATTTTACAGATTGGGAAACTGAGGCCAGAAATGACTTGCCCAAGGTCACCTGGCTAACAAAAGGGAGAGGTAGGGTAGCACAGTGGGAAGATCGTTGAACTTGTCAAGAGAATGTGAGGTTGAACTTCAATCTGCCACTTACTACCTGTATGACCTTGGGCAAGTCATTTCTGGCCTCAGTTTCCCCATCTGTAAAATGAAAGAGTTGGACTCAGTGACTAAAGGTCCCTTGAAGATCTAGATTGATGATCTGACCAGTGTCATTGGTGGGGCTCACACTCAACCCTACAGCTCTCATGAATTAATAATAGTGCCAGTAATTGTAATCATTTATACAATACCTTAAGGTTTACAAAGCATTTACCTGTGTTAGCTCTTTTGACCCATCTCCCGATATCCTTTAGTGGCAGATGCCATTGTTATCCACATTTTGTCCCTTTTGCTGATGAGGAAACTGAAGCTAGGAGAAGGCTTAAGTGACTTGCCCAGGGTCACTCAGCTAGTGTTAACTACTTGAGGTAAAATTTGAACTCGGTTCTTCACACTAGGTCTACCGCTCAATCACACCTATGTGAGTAAGGCCTTGAGGGGTAGAAGAGAATAAGCATTTATTTAACACTACTATGTGCCAGGTACTGTGCTAAGAGCTTTACAGATATCTCATTTGATCCGCACACCAATGCTGGGAGATAGGTGCTATTAGTATACCTATTTTACAGTTGAGAAAACTGAGGTAGAGGTAAAAGTGACTTGTCCAGGGTCACTAAGCCAGTAAGTGTCTGAGGCTGGATTTGAACTCAGGTTTCCCTGATTCTAGGCTTGGCACTATATCCACCACACCAACTACCTACCTGGCCCTTAGCCAACCTAAAACAGGAGAGGCTGAGGGCTGGCAATGCTGGCTTTAAAGGACTCCTCTTTTTTGAGGTCTTGGCGACTGAGTCCTGCAGGCCTTCCATCTAATCTATGCCCCTTCCTGACACTGAGCTCTGGGCATAGGGGTGTGAGTGGAGATAGTTTCCCCTCCACAGGGGGTGGGAGGGGATGATCACACGATGTGATAGAAGAGAATGCGCCTAGGATCTCAGTCGCTGCGGCTCTGGGTTGGAATCTTAGCCCTGCTAGTTACTACCTGTTGGACCTCAGGCAAATTACTTGACCTCTGAGTGGTTTCTACACAAAAGAGAACAAAAGTCCCAGCTTCAGTTGGAAATCTACGATCCTATTCTCGGGCTTCTGGGGGAAGCTTACCTGTGTCCTGGCGGAACTGGTGCATGGACTGCAGGTCAATAATGTAGGGCACCAGCTGGGCATCCACCTGGCCAAGGACCACGCTGCCCCTGGCATCCTCCTTGAGCACATTCTCAATGTGATGGCACACCGTGGCCGTGTAGGGGCGCCAGCGGCTGTATTCATTCAGCCACTCCCATACCACCACCCTGGCCAGGTTTTGGGGTGGGAACCCCAGGCCATTGATGGAGATCAGTGCCCCAGGGCCTGGCCTGGACATGGTGCAACCACAGCTGAGGGTCCCCAGGAGAGGGGGACTGGAGGGCCGAGAAAGTCCAATTGTGCCCTTCTCTCTCCTCTCAAAGGAGAAGGGGTCAGGAAGCCGCCTGACCACAGCTAAGCCACCTTCTGCTGAGATACCCTGCAGCTGCTGATGTCCATGAGTCAGTGATTGGTCCAGTCCAGGCCTCCACAGGCCTAGAGCCACAGAAGTAGAAAACGGCCACTGCCTTCAGCCTGGCTTTACTGCCTCCATCTGGAGGTGCCCGGTCCTGGACTCCTGGGTCCTCTGAGCCCGGAAGGTGCCAATCTCCGTCAAAACCCTGGCAAGGGAGGGTGGGGTCACGCCCCTGCGATCCTGGCTGGCCCCCTCCTCCTTCCTCCTCTTCTTTCCACGTCTCAGGCAGCCCCTCGCCAAATCAGAGGACTAAGTCACAGCTTCCTCCTGTCACCAGCCCAGACGGCCCCAGGGCTTAAAAAGCACAAAGTCTGTGTCCCTCCTGGCCCCAGCTCCAACCATAGCCCGAAGCAGCAGCAGCGGCCCTGTCGCCGCCTCTGTCTGCCTGGGGGAGGCGGATCACCGTGCTGTGGGGCCGCCCCCCCGACCGCCCTGTCCCAGGCCTGGCTCCCAGCTCATGCTGCAGGGGGTGTCCCCGCCCCCCTCCCCAGAAGAGGGGAGGGTCAGGAAGCCGCCTGCTCCGTTGGTCTTGGTTTAGGAGCTGCAGAATGGACCCTCTACTGGGGGCCACCCCCGGCCCGGCCCCACCCAGTGACCTCCCTAGATAAGGCGGCTCTTGAGGTCACAGAGGGCGGTGCCTTGGTCTCCCCCACCTGGCCCAGCCCATTCCCGACACCACAGGGGAGCAGCGGCGATGCCCCAGTCCACTTGCGATCGGGACCTGCGGGGGAGACAAGAAAGGGAGAGGGCTCTTTAAGAACGCGTCTCTCCCGACCCTCTTCCCTAGAGAGATAGCAGGGGAGAACAATGGGGAGCCCCAGGGGAGGGTGCCAGCAGGAGAGGGAGCTTAAAGGGGTCCTGCCCAAGAGCGGGGCGGAGGGAGGGAGCATCTGGAAGCTGGTGCTCCAGACGCAAGAGCGGGGACCAGAAGCTGAGCAAAATGGGCCGGAGGCTTTCTCGGGGTCCCAGTCCCTCCCCCCACTAACCTCCCTCTCCCCCGTCCCCGCTTCAGCCCAGGGGTCTCTGGGCCCAGTCAGGCTGAGGGGCTGAAAGCATGGGGGAAGAGATCTCCCTAGGGAGAATCCACTGCGTCTTGGGGTCACGGGGTGGGGGGGACGAGGCAGCCTTGCTGCCTCTGAGGGCAGACGTAGTCTGCAGGTTTGGTGGGGGCATCCCTCACCCTCCTCTCCCAGACAGGGTGGGTTACATCCCCTCCGGCCCTTCCATGTTGTGGCGAGGAAGGGGATGGACAAGGGGACGGGGATAGGGATGGACATGGGGGTGAAGTCTTCGCTGGGTAGCCCCCTCTCCCGCTCGGCTCCCTCCTTTCTCTTCCCCACCCGGGTCGAGCTCCTTACCGCCCGATCGTCTCCGCTCGGGTCCTCTCCGCTCTTCTCCTCCTCCCTCTCCTTGTTTCCTCCTCCTCCTCCTCCACCTCCTCGCTCGGGCTCTAGCTCTCCTTCTCTCCTCCTTCTCTTTCTGTACTGATCGCTGAGGTAGTTGGCCCCCAAGATTGGAGGCCCTGTTCCGGGCTCCTGGACTCCCCGGAGCCTGGGTGTTGGGGAGTGGGGGGGATGATCCTGAGGGAGGGCTCTTCCCCTTGTCAAACCCGCACCAAGCTCGCTTCTCCCAGGACGGACAGACGCCCAGATCCCAGTGCTGGAAGGCAACGGCGGCTGCTCTGGGCAGGGGAGGGGATAGGAGGAGGAAGGGGAGGGGGCCAGCGGAGGAGGAGAAAAGGGAGGAGATATCGCACCCCCCCCTCCAGTCCTGGAGAACCCCAGCTCCTCAGGCCAGGCCTGGGAAGGGGAAGTACCGTCCCCCACAACCCCACCCCCAATCTGTTCTTCAGAGTCAATACAGAAACAAGGTACACGAGGGTCGCCTTGGTGGGTGTGGGCAGCAGCTCCAGCCCCCGTAGGGATCTGGGACCTGGTAAGGAAGAAATTTAAAGCCCTCTGAGGGCACCATTACACTACCCCATCTCTATGGCTTAGAGGGGTCTATGAGGAATCTTGTCTCCCTGTTTTTCTCCAGGGGAACTGAGGACAGTGGAATGGGAGGTGCCTTTTCACTGCCCTTCCCCTTCCAGTGTCCAGCTGCTAGGGAAAGGAAGCCAAGAGGAGGAACTGAGTCCCAAGGTGGGGTGAGGTGGGGGCTGGGATGTATCTGCCTTGTCTGTTGTGCAGGAGGGGAGCTGCCAAGGCACTCTTGGCATCCCCCAATCCACTCCCATTCTATAAAGACTTATCCCTTCCCCTGCTAGTCTGGCTCTGGCTGGGTGCCCCAAGAAAGCAAGAGCAGAGGGGAAAATAACACAGAGCAGCTGGGAAGATGACAGGACCACTTTGGGCCTTGTGTTTATACTAGGGAGGAGGAGTGATACAACTGACCGGCAAGTCAGGGGGTCAGTGGACCTCCCAAAGTGCTCCCCAGAGCACAGGACTGCAAAAGTCTGAGCCCTTCCTTCCCCCAACCCCCACAAGGGCTCACAGCCACCATGACTTCAGTGAAAGGGGGCTTAGGGCTGGTTCTGACAGCAAAGCCAGGAACAAAGGCCACTGTCAGCCCCACCCCATCTACCAAACCAGTCCTTCCTGGTCACAAAAGGGCTTTAACCCATTGAAATGTGGTGAAGAGTGCTCTTCGCTGCCAGTCAGGAGGTTACAGTGCCTATGCACTGTAGTGAAGAAGGCTTGTGTTCACATGTAGCCTCAGACACTTACCAGCTGTGTGACCTTGGGCACGTTATTTTAATCTCTGCCTCAGTTTCCTCAACTGCAAAATGGGAGTAATAACAGAATTTACCTTGGAGGGTTCTTGTAAAGCATATAACCCAGTGCATGGCACATAGCAGGTGAGATATCTATCTATATATCTTACCTACTATGTACCAGGCACTGGACCAAGCGATATGTGTGTGTGTGTGTATGTGTGTGTGTGTGTGTGTGTAGATATATAGATACAGATAAATGTAACCCACCAGATATAGCGATATCTATGATATATACTTGTGTATGTATGTATATACACATGTATATATGCGTATCCCTATATGTGTGTATGTATATGTGTATACTTATTAGCCTTACCATCTAAATGATCTTAAGCACATCACTCATTCAATTCAACATGAATTTATTTTACCTTTTACTCTGTAGGTAACACCGCGCCAAGTGCTGAAAACACAAAGACTAAAATGAGCCACAATCTGACCTCAAAGAAATTATGCTTTTCTGGCGGGCAGGAGTGGCAGGGATACATCATAGGTAGCTAGAGCATTTATTTTTTCCTATGTGCCAGGCATGGCGCTAAGCACCAGAGATCCAAATACTAGCACACAAAACAGTTCCTGCTCTCCAGCAGCTTATATCTAATAAAGGAAGACAACATATTAAAACATTCGGGGGGGGGGCAGCGCCACAGAATGGTGAGGAGATGGACAGCAAGTGGGGTGAAGGTCTGTTTCCCTTCAAGGTAAGAGCACACCTGATAGTGCTGGTTAACACACAAGGGGAATCCAAGGTTGTAATGGGAAGGGAATGAGGATGATGGTGAGGCTGGTGGGACAGTGCAGAGATGGTTTTACAAGTCTATACCTATAAAACTAGCAACTCGAGATCAGGAAAGGACCCCTTTACAAGGAGCCCCAGCTGAGGTACTACCCGTTGGGTTCCAAAAGGCAGAGGTGGGGAGAAGGAAGAACATTCCAGGCATGAGGGGATAGTGTGAGCAAAGATACCAAGGGGGGAATGTCCTGTTCAGGAAAGAGCAAGACAGCTGGTTTGGCAGGAATACAGAGTTTTGTCAGGGGCATTCTTGGACCTCAGCTATCTGACCTGTTAAAATAAGAGAGTGGAAGCTTTCAGTCCTCTCCCAACATACAACCCATTAAGGTTTTGAGATCTAGAGCTGGAAGGGATTTTTTTTAGAGAACATCTGGCATACCCCCTCATTTTACAGATGAGAGTCCGGCCCTGAGAGGTAAAAGGTCACACTCATTAAGTAGCAGAGCAGAAATTCCAACCAACATCTGGCATCTAGCTCTGCATGCTTTCCAGAGCACCATTCGATTCCCCTGGTAGAATGTAAGCTCATTGAGGGCAGAGGCGGCTTTTGGTCTTTGTATTCCTGGGGGCTAACTTTTCTTTAACCATTCCTGTGCTTTCCTTGTTATATGGGACTCCCAAGGAGAAAATTTCCTCTACCTATGCTGACTTGCTCCTGCTCTGCAGTTTAATAATCTTAGAGAGTTGGTGAGATGAAGTCATTTGCTTAGAGTCCCATCATCGATATGTGTCAGGGGTGGGATTAGAACCTCCAGGCCTTCCTGACTGCACAGCCTGCTCTCTCTCCCGACTCTTCCGTGCTGTTTCTCTGCCTTATACTCAGCAGGCATTTAATCAATGATCATTGAATTGAGCTGATATTTCTTTTTTGCTGTGGACATCCTATGGACCTGCCTACTTTTCTATCTGTCTTAGCCTGGAAGCTCCGAGGGAGCCAGGACCTGGCTCCAGTGTATATAGCTTTTCACCCCCAAGCAATTAAGCACTTCATAAACCCCCCTGCTCCCCATACTGCTCAGAGCCCAGATGTGATTACCTCTAATGTACAAAGCCCTGTCCTAGGCACTATGGGGAAGGTGACTAAAGATGTGGCAGAAGACAAAGAAGGGTTTGGATTGTATGATGTCTCAGGCCCTTTTCAGTGTTAAATCCTCTGAAGCAAAGGCCTAGGAGCCTGGGAACATAACTCTGTGGCTTCTGAGGCTTCGGTAGGAATGCATTATCCCAATTTGGCCCTTTGGTCAAACCTAGGGCCTGAAGGACTCCTCCAAGCCTTTAAAATCCCCTTTCCTCCTTCCTCTGCCTGGTACTTAGCTTATAGCCCTGGTCACATTGGCCACTCCCTTGGCAAGGGCCCGGTGACTGAGAAAAATGACCTCAAAATTATAGGGACTTTAAGGAGGTTATTTCCCATGTGACTGGCAGAAGGCATAGAGAGCCAATAAATCTGCTTCTGATTTCCCTG